TTCGTTAATGAAGATGATGAAAATTCTTGATGCAAAGAAAAAATTCTTTTCTTTTTTTTTTGATGATATAAAATATAATGAACACAGGCTCTTTTTTCACCATTATTTATTAAAAAGTCCGAAGAGAGAAAGAAAAAAAAAGAACGAGAATTATCTCAAATTTCCAAGACTTAAAAACCACAACCAGCAGAATTTTCATCATCATCATCATCGTAATCATTATCAGAATGAAAATCATCCAAATGGATGGATGGACCTTCTGGGTTAATTTTATAGCTTGATTTTTTTTTTATTTGCTCTCATTATGGCTGATGATGATGATGATGATGATGATGATGATGGATATAAGAACCAGAATCTTGTAGTTAAATAAATTGTATATCATCAAATTGATTATTTCAAATCTTGCATTCTGTTGGTTGTTGTTTTTGAGTCTTGAAAAATTCGTTAAGTGAGTATGTGTGTGTGTTTGTGTGTGTTCACTGTTTTCAATAAATGGTGAAAATTGCTTGTATCCATTATTTTTATCATGATCATTATCATCACCATCATCATCATCATGAAATTTTTGTTCGTTAATTTTCTTTTCACATTCAAAACAATAACAGAAACAAAAAAGTTTAGTCGGCTATTTTTTGTCTATTGTTATTTTTTCTATATATCTATCTATCTGACTACTAAAATTGAAACAAACAAATAAATAAAATATTATTATTTTCATCCCAAAAATCATCAAACAACTATGACCATGACCACACCCCATTTTTTGAGAAACAGAATTAGAGAATAAAATCAACAACAAAATAACCGTAAACAAGACAGTAATAATGAATATTTTTTTTCTTTTTTAATAATGAATGAATCATCGTCATCATTATTATTATTTTTCAATAGAAAAATAGAAACATAATTCTTTTCCTTTTTCTTCTCGGATAATGATGTTGTGGATCCGAAACAAAAACAAAAAACACACATACATCAGATATATTTGATATAATAATAATCGATGTCATCAAATTCTCTTTAGGATTTCTACGGGCTGATGTAATTCGGATATAGCCACTATTGATAATGATAATGAAAAAGATTATTAACATTTCTTAACGCTTCGATGACTATTCTTTTGTTATTGATGATGATGATGATGATGAAGTTGGTAATGGGACCAACCGAACTGAATCGATTTGAATTCGAACCAGAGTAAAACTCCAAAAAAAAAAAAATCAATTCCTTTCATCGAAAAACAAGAAAATGATGAACTTTATTAGAATCTATATCTAAATATAGAATCATCAACATCACCTTTATTTATCTTACACAAACATCACACAAAAATAATTATTTTGATAATCATAAAAAAAAAAAATTGAGACATGTATCGCCATCTACCAACGAGTCAGTGACGATATAAAATATTCGAATCTTTCGAATCCATCGATGATCTTGATCATGGTGAAAAATCTATTTTCAATATACAGTTCTAAAACCTTTATGGTCCATCGAGAATTGTCAATCGATTCGCAAACCATCAGTTCGTTATATACAAAAAAAAACAGTGTGTACGACAGACATTGAAAACTCAACCACACACAGACAGTAAGGAAATCAGTCAAATGACCAAAGTAAAAAAAAAAACATTATTGCTACATCTACTATTTGATTGAGTATTTAGGATAAAATAAAAGTTTTTTTCCCGTCTCACAATAACAATAATTCTGGGTGTCATCATCACTTAAGCAAATCATCAAACATGATCAAAATGAGTGGAAAAACAAAAAAGTTTCAATTTTATTAGGCTGGATAAAAAAAAACATAAATGAAAAATAGATATTCCAGAATTAAAATGGAAAATAGAATGGAATAAATTCAAATAAAATATGATTTGACAAAGAATCTTCAAGAAAATTTATCCATCACCAGAGAACAAAGAATAAAAAATGGACACCAAAATTTTCAAGGAGAAGCATATATGGTGGAAAATAAAAATTTTCTTCGTCCATTGTACAATCATTTCCCCTGTAGGCAGACAAACAGACACACAGGTATCGTAATGTATGCAGTGTTTGGGACATTACACCATCACAAATGCACAAATTTAACGAAAAACAACAACAACAACAAAAAACAGAACAGAATATTCTATCAAACCAAAATGAATGAATAAATGAATGTTTTTTGGCAAGATAACACAGGAACGCTAAATAGAATGAAAAAAAAATTAAATAAATAAAGAAAATGGTGCAAAAAAAAATTCCTGCACTCCATAAAAGCCAATTTATAGAAACAGAATAGAATAGAATTATGAAGTGATAGCATAAATATACAGACTTTGTTTCGACACACACACACACACAAACACAAGATGCAAATTAATGAACCGAAATCGGCTTAAAAACTAAAACAACAACAATACGAGAATAGTAGACTAGACCAATGCACAATGATGACAATAGCAAAGAATTATATAAGAAAACAAAAAGTAATAATATAATGGAATAAGGGTAAGCGAAATAAACTAACGGTAACTGTTATATTGTAACTCAAAAGAGCTTATTCCACTCTAAATAAACCTTATCCGGATTCTTATTGTTCTCGCCAAATACACACACACACACACACACATACAAGTTGGACAAAGGAAAAATTTTCTTTTTCTTCTTACAAATCAAACAAAACAAAGTGAATGGAATGGAAAAAAAAATCTAGCCAAAATCCTTGTTTCATACCTTTCGGTTGGTTGGTTGGTTAGTTGGTTTGTCGGTTTGTTTGCACACTAAAAATGTCGTTCACCATCAACATCCATTAAACCGGATGACTTTGTTTTGGTCAAACAAAAAAAAAAAAAATTGGTTGAAATGTAGCCAACTAAAATAAATAAAATGACAGTAAAAAAATGATGATGTTGATGACTATCACATCTATCATGAATATGACTTAAGCTTGAATTAAAGATAACATTATTATTTTCATAGCTTATAATAATCTAGCTGAATAAAAAGTTTTCCGATATTTGATATGGATATTTTCATTTTCATCTTCATTATCATTGTCAATTTTTCTGTATATATATCTGCGAAATGTTCGAAGAGGATTTATATATATTCTTTATTATTATAATTGGAATGTTATCATTATTTTGTCATAGTAAACAAAGGAATATGATATATTCAGTTTTTTTTTCATTTAGAGATTCTTATTTATTTGTATTAAGGTGTGACGATTCTGATGAATAGTTTGAAAAATAGATTCTCTATGATGTGAACTTGTTCTATGGACAAATGATGATAGAAAAAAAATATATATATTGACATTATCAACAGCAGCATTGTTTTTCATTTATGAAAAAACAAACTATTGTTATAAAAAAAAATGATGAGAAACCATAGAAATGTATGAATTTGGTGAAAAAATTCAAAACATCTGGACAAATTATCTCGAAGTTAGTGCAACTACGTCATTTGTATGATTGTTCAGGTTTTTTTTTCGTTTAGTTCTTATGATGATGAAATAATTGAATTTATTTATGATCATCAAAAGATAGATGATGATGATGATGATGAAAAAAATGGGGTACATAGATATGACATGAGGGTGGATGTTTTAATATATTGTTCAAGTTGTTGTTGTTGTTGTTCCAATAGCAAAAAAAAAAACTTTTCTGTTTCATCTTCAGAAATAAAACGAAGGTCTTTTTTGTTATTTGAAGAAAAAAAATCGAAAGTTGATTATTTTCAATGCTGCTGTCATTTTTTTTTTTTTTATATTCTTTCTATTTGTTTATCATTATTATTATCATCATCATCATCGTTGATTCATCATCATTGTTGCTTTTTAATTTAATTTTCGTCATAATCGTACAAAGAAAAAACTCTAAAAGTCGGTCGGTCGGTTGTCGCCGTCAAGTTTTAGTTTTCTCCATTCTCTTTTTCGGATTCGGACATTCTTTGGTCCATCATTATTATTATTATTATTATTTTATATTTGCTAAATTCTGTAGTGATTAAATGCCAAACATGTTTCGGTTCTTTGCTCTGGACAAATACAAAGAAATTTGAAACCAAAATGATGAGTTCAAGAGTTTTTCAAAGAATTTTCTCTTTCTCTTGTTTTTTTCTATTTCCGTTTTTTTTGGTAATTGAAGAAAATTTTTTCGACATGATTACAATAATGATAAGGAGGTGTGAATTTGTGCAATCATTCAGAGAAGAACAATCAAACGAATGAAACGAACCACAAAATATAGTATAGAAATAGTATTATATTTCGCTATTTCAGAAGCTGTTCTGAATTCAATCCTAATATTACATGAAAATAAATTAATAATAGTTTCTTTTTTTGTCGCCCAACCACGATTCATAAATCAATTCTAGACTCATTAACCACAAAAACAGTTATTAGATTAAAGATGATGAAAAGGAATTTTCACAGAATTGACATTCGAAAATTTGAAAACGAGAGAAACAACAGCAAAAAAAAGTGTTATCAATTCAAAATAGACTTAGACGTTGAAATTTGAACTTTTATTTATTTATTTTTTTTTAAAAGACAAAACTTCAAATAAATAGAAATAATTTTAGAGAAAAATTTTGTTTCGGTTTCAATTCTTCATTCATCGTCAAAAACAATGGATGGAAAAATTTTAAGAAAATTCACAAATTGAAGAAGTAAATGAATAAAAAGTAGAGAGAAAAAAAAACAGGAAAATTTGGCTGAAAAAAATCAATGTTTCCAAGGAATCTGCACAAAAGACAATACGTGTTGACAGACATAATTTAAATATATATATTCGGAATATGAAAAAACAAATTCGAAATGAATAAAGCAAATAAAATTTGTAAATTTCATGCAAAAAAAAATTATTTTTCCCAACAAAATTTTTTTTTTGAGACACGTTGACAGAATGTGAGCGAGAGAAAAAGAGAGAAACCATTCAACGCTGTTTTGGTTTAATTGAATTGTTTTTGTTTTCCATTCCCTTTTTTTTGTCACAAGAATTTAGCCCAAAATTCAAAAAGTGTTTGTCGACTAGATGATTGATTGATTGTATGTATGTATGTATGTATGAAATATGAAAATGTCCGGAATTTCGTTATTGTAGTATTTTCCGTTCTTTCATTTGTCTGCCACCACCGACGTTGACAACAATTACTTGGATGAAAACAATGATTGAATCGATGATAGAATGTTGTATGTAAATGGTAAACGCTTTCGATTATTCGTCATTGTCATCGTTGTCGTTGTGTTTAGCATTTTAAATGATTGCCGTGCAATTGAACGTGGATAAACAAGCTGATAACAAATTGTACCAGTAATCAAAATTTTTGTCATCATTGTACCAATATAGATTCTAAATTTGTTGGAAAAAAATTAAATTATAAGTTATTATCATCATTATGATTATCATTATATATTATATTTAACAAAAACATACAAAAATAATTGATTCTGTGCACGTGGTATAGTAGCTGGATCTTCTTTCAATAGGAATCGTCGTACACCCAATACATAATCACGAAAATAATCTGGCCAATTCAATTTTCGTATGTCAATCGGAAATCTTTCCGATACATCCATGATAGATTGTTGCTGTTGTTGATGTTCATGTAGTTTCTGTAAGTGTTTTTCACCATCAACATATAATGTTTTATTAATCAGTTCTTTACGTTGATTATTACGATATGCATAATCAGCTGCTTCAATCAAACGTAACATATTCATGCCGGTATATGTCCATTCATTTGTGGTGAAAAATTCTAATGCATCTGTAACACGGTGTACTTTTTGATAAACTTGATTCAATCTATAATAATAATAATGATAACAAAGAATTTTAGATGAAGAAAAAAAAAGGAAAAAGTTTCAATTTGTTTCTAAATCGATCCAGAATAGATTGATCCAACAACATTATTGAATACGAGATATAATGTTCTGGTAATTTCTAAAAACGAAAGAGAAAACCCATTAAAAATTACCGTTAAATGTACATTTCTAAAGGATTTAATGTAGATGCAATACACTAAACACTTTTTCATTCAAACACACACGAATTTCTCTTCACTATTATGAATGAAATTAATTTTAAGCTAGAAAGTAAATAAATAAATAAAATAGAATAAATTAGAATTCTTTGGAAAGAAAATTTTCCATCAAAATTAAAGAATTTTAGCAATTCGAACACACACACACACACGGACACAAAACAAAACAGACATTGCACTGTTGTCCAGTTCATTACTATTATGATTATCTCTTTGTTTCTTGTTTACACTACCATTTTATGATTATTATTACTTCATATGAAATTAGTGTGTAGATTTAGATTATAATGGCTATATCCTTTTTCTATGTTCGAATTTTATTCTGGTCATAAGATGATGATAATGATAATTGTGTGATGGGGCAGCAGAAAATTTCATCAAAAATAAATAAAACTAATGAATAGACAATGACCAATGAAAGAAACAAACGGGTAAGAAGAATTTCATTCTTCATTGTTTTCATTGATGAATAAATTTTGTTTCTTTTACTTTTAAATGAGATTCTAGAAAATATTTTCTTTCTTGTTCACAAACTTACATTGGTGAGAAACCCATGAATTTGAATAGGAAATCCACAACGAATGCTGGTATAGTATGTTCAAGATATACATTGATTTGATTTATCATTTTGGAACGATGAAATCGTACATTCGGCACACGAAACATTTCCATCGATGGATAACGGCACATTAATGGCATTGAAATATTACGTAATTGATTCCATGTGATTGGATTGTGTGCACCTGTCACACAATTAACAACAAATATTTCATTATTATCTGAACATTGACGATTATCGGACATTGTTGTTGCCGATGTTGTTAATGTTCGTGGAAATTTTGAATGTTTATAATGATGAACGGCAATATACCATGCCGATAATATACATGTATTGATGACCACATCCACTGGTATTAGATCACACAGATAATCTTTTTGTACATTCATTGAACGTAGAATACCTTTACCACTGACAACTAAAAATCCGGTAAATCCATTATAATTATCAACCCAACCGGGAAATGGTTCATTCCATGATGGTGTTATTATTGATGGTCGAACAATTGCTGCTGGAAATGGACGCCATTTTGTATCATTTGATTCAATGTTATCATCATCCATTATTGTGGTCGTGGTAGTGTTTTTTGTTTTTGATTGATAAAAACAACCATTTGCCACTTCTTCGGCCAATAAATGTTCGGCCAATGATTTTGTGTAATGATATGAACATGGCCGACCACGATATAGCGTTTTGGTCAATCGATTCATAGTGTCGTCATTCATCCAACTATTCCGAAGAGAAAATTAATATATTTAGAAATTATTTTCTTTGATTGATTATAAATCAAACTTACTCAGCCATTTCAAGAATTTTATCCGGTGAAATCGGTTCAAAATACACACATTCATCGATTTTTCGTTTATCTACCGTACAATATGCCGTTGAAACATGTACGAATGAACGAAGATTTGTTAATTTTTTCGCCAATTGTACCACACGTTTTGTGCCCAATGTATTGATTAATAAAGCATATTTTAATGGTTCATCAAAACGAATCGTTGCAGCCGAATGAAAAATAATTGAAACATTATCACGTATTGTTTGTAGATCGATTGGATTGATACCCAATCCTGGATAGCGAATATCACCACTAATAGCCTTAAGTTTTTGTAACCGTTCTGGATATTGTTGACGTATACGATCAAATACTTGACATTCGGTCAATTTTTCCAGTCGTCGTCGTATTAGTTGACCAGATTTTGGCCGTAACATGACATAAATATTACCCATTGTTGGAAATTCATAAAGTAATTTTTCAATCAAAACTTTACCAACAAATCCGGTACCACCTGTAATGAATACGGATTGTCCATCATAAAATTCTTCTAATGTAGGCACGAGGGTTGGACATTGTTCTGAAGATGATGATTCATAATCATCATCGATACCGGATTCCGATGTAATTGTAGCTGTATGTTCTTTGTAGTCATCATCACCATAATCATTTTGGTGATTATTATTTTTCAATTTAATCAAACCAGGTTTCGACATGATTGAAGCCGATGGATCAGATGATGATGATGATGATGATGATGATAATGATGATGATGATGATGATGGATGCATAAAATTCATCATAATTTCGTTTTGTTGTTGTTTATCATTTGGATGATTATTTGGAGACATTTTTTTCTTTTATTTGGTTAAAAATTGAATTTGATAAAAAATGTAATTATAAAAAAACACAAATGTTGAATTTAATTGAATTGAAGATGAGAAAGAAAAACCTAAGATGAAAAGGAGAAGAAAAAATTGAAATGAAAAAAAAGCAAATGATAAAATTAGAATGTTTAACTTTATTTTTGAATTTTCATTATTTTTTTTTATTATTATTATTTCGAACGCATGCTCCAATCGAACAATTTCAACAATATTGTTCTTATCGTTCAAAACTTGAGAGCTCTTCGTATCTATTCGATGATGATGATGATGATGATGTTAAGAAGAGAAAAATTCAATTTGAAAACTTTTTTTTAGAGAAAATGAAATTCTCATTTAAAATAAGTTTTCTTTCAAAAAAAAAAAAAAAAAAAAAAAAAAATAACTGCCCATATGGATGCATAAAATCAAATCACGAAAATCAATCTTTTTTTTCCAATGATAATAAATGACATTAAAAAATTGAATTCTACGAAAAACAAAACAAAACAACAAAAAAAAATTCTAGATTAAAATGCGAATTTTTTTTTCTTATGATAACACAAGCTGATTCCTGACACAACTAATATTCAGGTTTAACCTTCATTTATAATAATAATCAAAAAAATGCATTAAAATAACATGCAACAAGAAAATGTTTAGCAAAAATGGATTGAAATAGAAAAAACAAACAAACAAACAATTTTGTTTATAATTTACACATTACTCATTACATGTAATGTGCAAAAGCGATGTAAAATGTATTGAAATGTATTAGAAGAGAAAATTGTGAAAATTCGATTGAAATCGAAAATTTTAATATTTGAATTCGTCCGGATTTAGTTATTATTTATAATATATAGCCAAAATCTTAGAAATTGTGTGACCGATAATGAATTTCGTCGAAATAATTGCTAAATTTTTTTTTTTTTTTTGGTTTTTTTCACTACTCATCAACCAATTAAATTGTGCATCCACAGTTCGTTCGTGTGTGTGTTTGTGTGTCTGTGTGTGTATGGATATAGGATCGAATCAAAACGAAAAAAAAAATCAAATCGATTCGGCAGAAAAATTCTTTTTTTTTTTGTTTCATCAATTCATTTGCTTATTTGATCGAATGACGATCGAGTGGAAAAAAGTTCCGATCCAAAATTGAATGAAAAATTAATGCCAAGGTCTCTTTCATGTTTATTCACCAAATGGTAATGAGAAAAACCATTTTTACATTACCATGTTGGAGAAAAAATATTTTCATTTTCATTTTCATTTTTTTTTTAGAATCGACAACCGGTTTTTTTCCCATTTGATATTTGGAATTTATTCTACCTATATTTATTTATTTATTTTTTTGCTCATAAATTTTATTGTCAAAAAAAAATGAAATCAAAATTCAACATCTGGTCATGTTTTTTTTTTTGTTGTGTTTGTGTGTCCCAGAATTTTTTCCCTCTTTTACCTCTCTCTCTCCTACTCTTTCTTTCTCTTGTTACCTTAAAATATGAATTATGATTCTCAGAATTTATGTATACGGTACCCGGATATATATTTGTGAAAATTTCATCATCAACAAAAACATTTAAATACTTACCATCAATTTGAATAGAAATGTTTTTCTGGTTTGTTCCAGTTTTTTTTTTTTTTTGGTTCCATTTACCCGACAGGCAAACAAAACGAGAAAAAATTCAATTTTCAACACAAATTCAATTATTCACGATTATAAATGATGATGATGTTGTTGTTGTTGTTGTTGTTATTGGTACATCGTTGCATAGTGATTCAATAACAATAACAAAAAAAAAATAAAAGAAAAAAGAAAACACAATACACCAAACAGAAGAAAAAACCGGAAGCCAATGAAGAACGATAAATAATGAATATTATTATTATCGATTATTCATACATAAACAACAATCGATAATAATAATAATAATAATAATACAATCGATTGTATATCATATCACATCAACACCATGTTATTCAATGATTCGAATGTACGAAAAAAAAAAAATAAAACTTTGAACTCAATCACAAAACATAATAAAATGAATGTGAAACAACAACAACAAAAATCGTGGCTGGAACAACAAACAAACAACAATGAACAATGACTATTTTTGTTTGTTTATATATTTATTATATTTTCATTTCATCTTCATTGTGCAATACATCATCATCATCATCATCATCATCAATAATGGCGATCACTTTAGTAGTCGGTTTTTCTTTTGTTTTGTTGTTGTTGTTTGTGATTCATATATTTGTTTGATGAAATATTAAAAAAAAACAAATATTCATCATATAAATATAGTTTGTTCTATAGAAGAAAGTCGTGTTGTTTTTTTTTGTTCACTCATACTTTTTCCGACTCAAATGACCAAAACCAAGAGAAAATACACTCAATTTTCATTTTGTTGTTGTTGTTGTTGTGTCTTATTTGTTCTCACTTAATCGGTACAAACATCCAAACATCCATCCATTGTTATTTTGTAAACATCTTTAGGTTTTTGATACCAAAAATAACCGAAATTTCTTTATTTATCATCATAATAATAATGATGATGAATATTGCGCGGGTGGAAAATATATAAAAAAAATATAAAAAAACTGGTTTCTCTCATTTTTAAACGGCAATTTACAAACACACACACACACACACACAGTCTCGCAAACACAATAGAAACCAAAATTCAAAAAAAAAAAAGAAACCACTACTATCAATTTCATTTGGAACATTTATATTTGCAGAAAATTTCTTCTAGTTATCTGAATTTTTTTTTATTTGTTTTTATAATTTATCATTATATTCTCATCCTTTAACATTATCTCTACTTCATCATTTTGATCATTTACTTCGAATTAATAATTTTTTTCATTAATTGATTATTTATTAAAAAAAAAATATAATGTCATTGGGCATTTCGCATTTTGAAGTTATAAATAAATCGAATCAATAATATGATTACATTTAAATTTGATTAGAATCAATTTGTCGATTGATAGATTATCATTATTTTCAAAAGTGTTCACCTTAACTCTTGGATAACTCTTGAAAAAAATTATCACGTTTTTTTTGTTTATTGTTTCTTGGAAAATGAAATTTTATCAAAACAAAAACATACTCACCTACGAATTGATCGATGAAACAATATATTATTGATGTAAAAAGAAAAACTAAATGAAAATCATTATCATCGTCAGAAGTAGCACGTATTGTTGTAAATTAATTAACTTGGGATTTTTTTTTTGATCCAATCCATCGACCTAACAAACACGCTTGACACAATTTTTTTTTTGCACAAAAAAAAATTTCGTTCCATAAAAGACAAAACGAATCCGGTGATTCATTCGAAACGGCCACATTTCACATTTATAATAACCATACTGACTGATGTAATTTGTGTTATTTTCAAAACAGTAACTAGGTTTTTTTTTTCACTGACGACTCTTTCGAAATTTTCATTTTGTTGTACATTTATATATTGTTCACATCGGTATACTTAGATCTGTATGGCCATATATATGAACAATAAATGAACAATACCTTTTTCGGGATTTTCTCTCTTTTTTTTTCTTTTGTTCATTTTTATTTTGTTGTTGTTGTTGGATTTTTTTTTTCGCATTTCTGTCTGCATACATAGCTGCGATTAGCTTGAAAAAAAGAGAGAGAGAGAAATGAGAAAAAACCTGGTATACGTATGATGTTTTTTTGAAATTTTTCTTATGCTTTTTTTTTATTTTCATTATTTTTTACTAGTGGTTACGTCATTAACCATTAGATCATCATATCGGATGTCATTTAATATGATGATGATGATGATAAAAAAAAATTTTATCATCATATGATAATTCGTAGAATCGTAATAATTGTGATCATTGAATTGATTAGCAACCACAAAAACACACAGTTTTACATCGTTTAAACAATAGAATTTTCAATTAGAATTTTTTCATGGTATTTGTTGCATAAACTCAATGAAATGATGATGAAAGTGAAAAAAAAAATTATCAAAATTTCAAATTTCAGTTGCATTTGGGAGAATCCTATCTCTCTCTCTCTCTCTCTCTCTCTCTCTCTCTCTCTCTCTCTCTCTCTCTCTCTCTCTCTCTCTCTCTCTCTCTCTCTCTCTCTCTCTCTCTCTCTCTCTCTCTCTCTCTCTCTCTCTCTCTCTCTCTCTCTCTCTCTCTCTCTCTCTCTCTCTCTCTCTCTCTCTATTTCTAGTAATTCGATAATTGAAAGTTGCTAGAGAAATAACAAAAAAATTGTTATCTGATGATTGCGTTATGATCAGTGAAAAAAGTAATCATTAACAATGGACTTTGATTTCTTTTTTTTTTTATTCTTCAGTAATTTTCCATTTTTTCTGCAATCAGTCAATCAATCGATCTATCCACAAAAAAAATCAATTATCCCACCCAGGGCCGGCCCGGAAAATCGCGAGGCCTTGTGCAAAGTCAACTTGAAAAACGCGAGGCCTTAAAAAAATTAAGGAATTTTCAAAAAATGATTGCTTAAAAAAAATTTGAAGCGTTAAAAATCTTGATTGTTAATTTGAAGCGCGCTAAAAAACAACTGGCAAAAAACTGCGATCGTTCATAAAGTCTGTGCAGCAATTTATGACCGAAAAAATTTCCAAAAGCTTGTATCAATCAATTTAAATTTTTTCTAATGATCATCAAATCATCAACGTCATTCGAATCAGTAATGTCACCTCGACTCTATTTTGGTTATTTTAGATTTTATTTGGACTTTCTATCGATCTATCCATTCAACATTCAATAAAAATCAATTATCTGCCTTTGTTTAGATCAGGGCTTCATAAACTATGGGTCGCGACCCCAAGTGAAGTCGCGTAGCTAAACACGACCAGTTCAGAATCGAGAAAACATCAAATCCAACCTAACACGACCAGTTCAGAATCGAGAAAATAACAATTCCCAAACT